TAGTGGTCCTCTACCAATGGGCAAAATATGAGCCCAAAATCTTGAAATAACTTGGATGACCCTCATTAGATGTTCCTAGAAACAGCTCCAGATCTCCCTCATTTAAGGTGAAAGTCAGCAATTTTTTTCGGCCAAAGTTGTTTTCTGACCACGCCCCAGCTAACTAGAACGAAAAAAGCCGATAAAAAAACTTTTTCCAAAAAGTGGTTGGATACTCATGGATTAACCCTACTATGAATGTTCATCTTAAGCTTGTATTTTTGTTAACCTGAGTGTCGTTTTAATATACTATATTAAGACATGGCAGAAAATAGTAATGATAAACCGTTTGCGTATACAGCTTCTTTGAGTGATTATGTAAGTAAATTTAGACTTCTTTGGCATTAGTTTTGGACGAATTAGTAGCGAGAGGAAAGAATGTAACTTCTTTTACAAAAAAGCTGATGCAATGCAGATTGCAGAACGTAAAACAGTGCGTCATTTTTCAATTTTTAGTAAAGATGGCTGATTGATCATAGTCTAAGTTAGTTTAAAGACAAATGTTTTAAAATTAAAAATGATAGATTATTAATAGCTTTTTAGCATCCACCCATGTAAAAAGATGAACCCAACAAATAATTATCATTTTGTTAAGAATTTGACTGATATATTGATGTTCTTGTAAGATCGCGTTTTTTAAAAAACGTTCAGTTTTTAGATATGCTTGCAGAATGTTTAATAATTTTGTTGACTCAGATTCCAGTGGTTACCAACGACGTCCACCATCAAAACGAACTTCCTTATCCAACATCAAAGATGAATCACCATTAGCAGGCAAATACCGTAGGAAAGCCGAGCGTGATGATGACGACCCGAGTAAACCATGTAAAGCATGTGTCGATTTTAAAGATTGGATGAGACATAGCTCAACAACAAATACAAGTAAAAACTCATCCCATCATCATCTCCACTTTATCTTAACTTTATTTGGTTTTAGACAGTGAAAATAGTCAAAATGAAGATCGATCACAGCAGCAAATTTTATCAATTAGTTCAGATTGTCCGTTGATGAGAGATGATCTTGGTCGTGCATCATGGTCTCTACTACACACAATTGCTGCATATTATCCTAAATCACCTAAATCTGATGATAAACAGACAATGAAAGAATTTATTTCTGCATTTTCAAAATTATTTCCATGTCCAGAGTGTCGCGAAGATTTTCAAGAGGAAATTTTAAAAGATCCACCAGATCTATCTGATCGTTTATCGTTATCTAAATGGTTTTGTAATCAACATAATTTAGTAAATAAAAAATTAGGTAAACCATCGTTTGACTGTGAAAAAGTTTTAGAAAGATGGAAAACAGGACCAGAAGATGGACGATGTGATTGATGAGAGTGACTTATTTGAATTACGTTTTTTTATATGTTTAAATGAAAAATGATCCATGTGTATTTTTTGTGTATTTGATCTGTTTCGTAGTGATACTTGTCTATGCACGTCCTTTCAGTAATATAAATAAATCCGATATTTTCTATCTTTTGTACGCATCTTCTTTTCTTGCCCTATATAAGAAACCAAGACATCTATTTTGTTTATTGTATAATCAGTAAATAAAAGAGCGCTTCTAGAAAGCAACTATTAAAACCATCTTATTTTATGATCAAATTTGAATATATACTAACTATCGAGTGTCAAGAAACAAGAGAAATTCATTCAAGAATGTTGCTCTTATCAGAGATTTATTCTTGTGTAGAAATTGGTTGATCTTCACTTATTTGTCAGAAGATATAGTGACTTTATGTGATATGCTAAGATTTTCGAAAGAAGTTTCTCACTTTCATGAAAATTTCATATTTCGTCAAAAATTTAAAGTCCCATTAGGAAAGTCAGATAGACTTTTTATTTTAGTTCGAAGGAAATACGGAGATTTTGAAAGTCATAAAAAACTTCAAGTGAAAATGTTAAAATATCTTTTTCATAATATTTTGCTTTTTTCCAGTATGGCGCGCATTTTTTTCTATTTTTTCAACATATTTATATTGCTCCATCTCTTGGATGTCAGTGCACAAAATACAAAGTTTAATCCAGTATCTTCACAAATTTTTTTATCATCTAACTTGTTTGTATACTGGAAGTATTTTCGAGAATATATTCTGAAGAAGCAAACATTTTTACACATTTTGAACTATTTTCAAGGGTTTGAAATGCTTTTAAGTATCGACGATAGGATTAGATCACAAAAATGCAAGTTCGTATTCACTAACTTCGTTTTGTTTACTAAAAACAATATTTTCTCAAATTTTAAACATATTCGTGATCAATATGCTCGACTGCATACAGAAAATTAGTTTTTTGCAAAAATATGAGAAAAATATCTCCGAAGTTTTCTGGAAAAGTATCACTGTCTTGAAAAATCTGATACCAATCTTTGAAGAAAGTAAGTGATGGAATATATCCTGTACATCACTCTGATATGTTTTCCTTCGGAACAAAAAATCAGATATTGGAGGTCAGAAATCTCACTTACCTGCTCTTCTTCCTTATATCTTCAATACAAATACAAGAGAATCTTGAGCAGACGCTTAAAATTGATGCAACACTAAAGAAGAACAAATAAAAACAAAAACAAATTAGTACAGCAAAGTTAAAAGAAATACAAAAATACAATATATGAATAGTTTGAAAATAAATAATTTAACAAAAAATAGTTACATTAAGGGGATATAAATATCATTTGTTTTGTACGATTGAAGTTGTCATACATACTTCTGTCAGATAAAAAAACATAAAAACCCCTTTAAAAAAACTCTATTGAACAGATGTCTAAAAAAATTGATTGTTGAAATTTTTAATTATAATTTTTATATTACTATCAAGTTAATTTTAGCTTTGTTGTATTATTTGTTGGTGATAATAAATTAGGATCAACAACTACAATTACGTTTAGAACAACGTTAACAGCGGCCAATATAACCGATAATATTAACGAGAAATTATTTAGTGATACTAGACGTCGTTGACGCTGTGGTTTTCCTATATCATCCACACCAAGTAATACGAGAATGCAACCATTTAACACCTGAATGAATAATGATGCGCTCACTACGAAAGAAAAGCCGATTGTTGATAATAAGATTATGATGAGATTATTTTACTCCTTACCTAAAGCAATACCCACCCACCATAATGTTGTTTTCTCCATATTTCCTAATAACACTTTTAGTTGTACAGCATTTGTTATTAGAAGAGCTATTTCAAAACTTCCTTCAGCTATTGTTTTTTTTGTTGCATATCGATTTTGATCATAGCCTCCTTCATTACCATCTTCCATCTCCATACGACGTTTATACGACATTGTTTGGAACTAAAATAGGATGCGATTGATTGGTAGTGTTCAACGTTTTCTTAAGATTGAAAGAAAGTTTCCTTAATTTTTTGAACTGATCAATTAATGGTGAGCGTCCTGGTGATACACTGTGTGCACAAATGTTCATCCTAAATAGACTCGATGCCGTTCGACTTTCTGTTTTCATGTTTGTATTACAAATGCCTTCCATCGCGATCTTTTCTTTAGTCATAAGAGTTTTTAAAAAATTCTAAATCTTGCCTTCAATTTTCAAGAATTTTAGCTATTAGCGTTTTTTTAGTATATTCATGTTATTACACGTTTTAAGACGATATTTAATGCATATCAGTTAGAAAGGTTATCAGGCATTACGGATATAGTTAATTTAGTTTGATTTAATTGAAAGCTGCTCTCTTTCCTGGTATAATACAGAGTCACATATAGTAATTATGATCAACGTTTTGAAAGTATTTTGAGCTGATTTTAATAAGACATTTTTGACTGGGGAAAACTAGTTTTATACTGGATCTCTCAATTATCGACTGATATTTTTGTAGAGAAGAGCGAGTGGCCCTTAAATTCATTACTGTTAATTAGTTCTGATTAATTTCCAATGACTATACACTGGCTGACCATAATTATCGCATGAGACTCTATAGTAATACAATGACCGTAGTTTTTCATTATTTATGTACTTATTTGAACATTTTCATTCGTTAAAGTATGAGCTATCTATTTTTTTCGTGCACAGCATCGCTGGATAGCGTGACATCATTAAGTCTTCTGGACAGAGTTGTAGTTGATGACTTATAATGACATACAGTACTGCTCAAAGTTATAAAAGTACACAATTTTCGAAATGTTTCTATGAAGCCGACTAGTTAGAATAAATCCAAATAGTGATCTGGACAGCTGAAATGATGTCCTATCAGATGAGGTACATGTCACTGTGTCCTAAAAAGTCCTGAAAATACGATTTCTAGAAAACTGCGTGAAAGGGATCTCAGACCCTTGAAAGCTTTTTCGGATTTTTTTGTAACAGTTCAGTCTTGTAGAGCTGAGCAAGATCTCTCCGAGCTCTCTACGATATTTCCTCATGGAGCTATAGATGATCCAAAAACGATTAAAAATAAGCTCTTTCTTGTTTTTCTAAGCGGTTTTTATGTGCTTTTTACCATTTTTCGTGCATCTATAGTTCCCCATGAGGGAACGTCATAAAGAGCCCGGAGATATCTAGTTCAGCTACGAGACTGAACTTTTGGAAAAAATGTCTAAAAAACTCTTAGGGACTTAGGATCCCGTTGAGGCGGTTTTCTTGACAAGTGTGGAGAAGATATCGGGCTATAGAAACTGACACTTGTCTGCATCCTACCTCAGTAATGTGAACCGCAAGGAAGGATAGTCTTCCTTCGTCTTATGTCCATTTCGTACACGTGTTTATCGACAACATTGGAAAGTGAAGTAATTCATAGGAACACTTACATATCTACCATTTTTTTAAAATAAATAAAGGATATTCTACATGCCTTCTTGAGAATTTTATGATATTATTTGGAAAGTAAGATTCTGAATTGGTATAATTAATCATCTATATCTATTCCGTGATATAGCGGAGGTAGAAGAATAAGTAAGAAAAAGGCAGTGATGTTTAACAACCTACAATGAGCACTTAGAGGATTAATTCTATTGAATATATAATATATTCTACATGAAGGTTAAAACACGCACTGACCTATCGTACTATATCGCACTGATGAAACACTTTCTCTACGATCTCACCATGGCAATAATACATTGTATTTACAACTACTAAGGACTATTAATTTTTGTGTGTCCATAGAGATTATTCTTCATACATTATGAAATAAAGATCGAATGTTGGAAATTAGTTTTCTTTCAAGCTTTTCGAATCGATTTTTCTCAATCGTGTCAATATATCGTCTCACTATTGTTGTCTTCTAAAATAGTGACGTTCTGGCAATAGCATCGAATAGCTCTAGTTTCCTCTTCCAATATTCTGTTTTTATTTCTTCGCATACTGACTCATTCACTTTCTCACTTACTTGTCTTATTTCTAATATTATTTGATACTAATATTCGCAGATGTTTATAGTATGTAATTATCTAAGAGTATACAGTAATACAATGCACGAAAAAGTTATATTTTAAAAATGATTACGTTATTTGTCATATACTTAAAAGTTAACTGTGATAGAAGGACATATTTCAATATTAACACTGTTTTCTTTTTTTTGCTCTTTCAAAGATAATATATAATACATAAAACAAAGAAACGTTGGAATACGTTGTAACGTGTATAAGAAGAAAGAGGTACATGTAAGAAAATGATGATGATGAGCAAACAATCAAGGTCACATCAACAACAAAAAGAACGAAAATTGATATCAAAGACACACACACAAATTTAAATAAATAAAGCGTATTAGGATGAAAAACGTGAAGAAAAGTCACAGGTTAACAATGTAATCGTTTTTTAACAATAAATTCGCTTCGGAATGTAGAATAATTAGAATGTGTTCATGTATTGGTTTGTCATTGGCAAGATTGTTTCAATGTTAAATGTTTCTGTGGTTCATAATTGTAGACAATATTCATGTGTGGGACAAGTTGAGACAGTATTGTTAATCGAATATAGAACTGCTATGACTAGTATTGTTAAGACTACCTTTAATATTCGAGATTCAAGTGCATTTTTTGATCATTCTTTAGCGTCTATAAAACTATAATCATAAAAGCAAAATAGTTTATAGACGTTTTTAATAAAAGTTTTAGAGATTATTTTTGTAAGTATATATATTTTGATGATTCTAAATCGATAAGAATGCTGTGATAAACGAATTTTAATCGATTCACATCCATCACTTGCTCGACTATATTTCCTTTTTTTTCGATCTTTACAGTCGTTTATTAGACAAAAATTGTCAAAAATTGTACCACAATACGATTTACTGGAAAGCATAGAAGTGCATTGTTCGTTGTAAATTGTGGTTGTAATTTGATACAGATGGCTATGGTTTAGCTCTACCTATGGAGAACTGGTTTTTCGTTTTTTCACATTCCAGAAAGAGCCTATGAACTCTCTGTAAAATCGGGAAACTCAATATAAATTTTTTAAAAAGTGCAAGATACTGATTTGAGCACTTCAGAAATCTCTGAATCAGTTCCTTATATGAAACAAATGAACAACTTATTTTTTTACAGTGAACTCTGAAATTTTCAAGTTATTTCATCTAACTTGGAGGGATTTCCAGGTTTCCAAGTTTCAGTAGAAATGATCTGAAATTGCTTATCTTCACAAGAACTAAGTGTGCCTTACTGCCGTCTGATCAAAGATCTAGCATATGGAAGCCAGCTTCTTTTTCACATTTTTGGCACTGTGATCATATAAAACTGCGCAGATTCTGAAATTTCATCCAGTTTTTAAAGGTTTTTGAAAAGTTAGAAAAATTACCCAAATTCAATAATTATGAAAACGCAGTTCGGTTCAAAGATGACAACACAACAATAAATCAAAACTTGGTACTTTGGATGCAATAGTATTCGAATTAAAAAAATGTAGAATTGGTGACTATTATTTGTAAAAAAATGTTCTGTATTAATGACGTGTGAGTTTTAAACGACAAATATTTTGTGGTAAATTGTATCAGACCATCGAATGTGTCATCATTATAATGTTTTGTGTGTGACATGTCTGTTCTTAGGGGAAAAAAGAGTTTCCCATTGAAAGTGTTAAGAATCTTTTACGAACTAATCCAATAATTAATCAATTTGATCGATTAGTAAGGTATAAATTTAAATCTGGTACATGTCATATGGGAGATATTTGATGATGATGGATAATATTAGTATTCGTAATTATCACTTTATCAATGGCATTAAAAATACAACGTTCAATTTTTATTTAACAAGACTATCAATATATGAAAAATCAGTTTGATATTTGGAAAAAGAAAAATATTTTATTTACTGTTATTCTAAACATCGAACTGTGAGAATAACGGTATTTTAGTTAATACTATTTCTAATTTACATACTGGACACTTAACATATCATATAATGATCAGACTTGATAACATCTGTAACTACAACAGTGTACATTTTTACATCATCATGTTTCAATGGCGTTCCAATACGAACGATATACACTAAACTATTTGATTGTTTATCAATAAATACAATATAAACATTTTTCACTGTACTTCTATTACAATTAAATATCTCGTCCCTCAGCGTGTTTACCTTCATAATCGATATTCTCTCACTATATGAATTGATCGATTTTCCAACTAAAACTCACTTGATTATGATCATATATCTGTGCACCGGTATCCTTAAGTCATTCCTGAAAATATCAATAAAAATTCTTTATTAGACAGTACGTAATTAGATAGATAAATAAATATCTATAAATCAGCTAAACTTTTGTACATGTCAGTTTGTTGTGGTTAATCAAAAATAAGAATTTGTAAAAATTAATGCAAAATAATATCAAAAATGTTCTCATTTTTTATTCTGATTAATTGTAACGGGTAACCCATAAAGAATGGCGGTCTTAGTATTCCGCAAATATCTCGTTCAATTTTTATTGTCAAGGCTACGGCATTTTTTTAAAAGATTCGTTGTTTCATTCTCTACAAAAAAAACTTCCACGGACAAGGTGAAGAGGTGAAAATTTTCATTTTTTTTGGTAGACTGTAGTAAAACAGCCTTTTATATCAGAAAAACACGTTCAGCGCCAACCTCTGATACATAGCATCATGTTCAAAATAAATATCTTTTCGTTATGTTTTGAATTTGAAAGTACAGGAAAATTGAAGTTTCACAGTATTTCACTTATATTCTTTTATTTCTATGGTATATAAAAAAATGTTCAGTATGTTTTTTGAACAAACGATGAATCTTTTAAAAAAAATGTTGAACCTTTCCCAATGAAAATTGAGCGAGATATTTGTGGAATACTGCGGAATACATTCTTTATGGGCCACCCGTTAGAATGTGTCGAATGCTCAGTAGATTAGAGGTGATCAAAATAGTACAACCTTAGAATTCTTACTTCTGCTATGAATTTCAATTAACTATAAAAGATGTCAGTCAGCATTTTCGTCAGTGTCAGAAAAGAAAAGGCGAGACAAAAATTGACTAAATGGGTATATTGATACGCGTAACAATAAGAAGGCATGTTATATTCGATTCGTCAACAAGCAGTATGATAGCGGGAGGCCAAGGATATTTACATGAATTTTCAGTATATTAGAAATTCTATCGATTGCTAAACACGACTAAAACGAGCTCGTGAAGAATACCATTAGAAGAAGTAGAAAAATGCTCCGCTTTCTACCGTTACCGGTGTATCTTCCATACAATTGACAGGCTTCTGAAATGGTCACCCATCTTGTTACTAGGCATCAACTACAGCTTTGGCCAGAAGGCTAGCCTGACGCAGAGTTCGTGCGTCCAATTACTTGAGCTTCCCATACACACTTCGCTAACCACGTACTAACTTTCCGAGAACCGTACGAACTAGCTGGAGAAACTGTATTGTACGTCACAACGTAGTGAGTATGCTGTCGGATGGGTGATACCATTAACACTTACAATATTAATCGTACAACAAAATGAAGCAAAAGAGAAAAACAAGGAGCAAAATAGACTAAACCAGAAAACTCGAGATACAACTCAGTTACTATTGTCTTTTGTGTTCCGCACGCTATCAATTCATATGACATCGTGAATAATTTTTCTCCATATAAAAACAATACTTTAGTCTAAAAATTATGAGACTTTGTAGAGTAAGAAATTCTCTAGAGTTAACCACTAAAACGGTATTTTCAAATTTTATCGGAAATGTCTATAAGATAGAAATGAAAAGTGTTCTATTACTTTTGAGTTACTTGACTCTATATAATCAAGAAGGTTGATAGTGAGATCTAATCGGAAAAAAGTTTATTAAATAATTAAACATCAATGTCTGAAATAACATCAAATGTTATGAAGATCTTGTACTATTATAATTTAAGAATATAAAATATTTTTACTTTCACAACTACATATTGCCATAGTCTATTGTCTTATGTCTCATGAGTTTCTCTCTCTCTCTCTCTCTCTCTCTCTCTCTCTTTCTCTCATTCTATATTTATGCATGCAATCATTTAATCCACTCGTGGAGATGTGGTGTCCGTAAAATACAAAGAACATGCTTGATCTCGATTGAACGAACGTACAAGATAGAAGAAAAGACAATTGTTCTTTTTACACAAAAAAAGAGTCTTATATCAATTCTTCAAAAGTACTCGTCTTTTTTTATATTGTATAATAAAAAATGGGTAAACAAAAAAAAATGTAATTTCCACCATAGAAAAAAAAAAAAAAAATAAAGTCAAGTCACTGTATTGCCAGAGATGCATACTAATACGAGATTGGAACCTGTATAAAAAAATCAAAAGATCCGATCGTCAATAAAAAAAAAGAAATCTCTTTTTCTCTTTCTTATTAATTTTTTTTCTTCTTTTGCTATCGTATATACATAGAGCTGTGCACTACAAGCTCTTCTTCCCTAAAAAAAAATGGATCATATGATAATAGTGATAATCACTAGATTGTTCATCTCTTAAAAAAAAAAAAGAATCTGAAATAAACAAAAGAGAAAAAAGTTTTCTTCGTTTTATGTTTTTTTTTTTCACTGTTCTTTTGATGAGCAGTATAAAACAGAATGGAAAAAGAAAAAGAAACAAAAAATTTTTTAATAATCCTCAAACCGAGAAAATGAACCACAATAATAACATTTTTGGTTTTTATCCGTATATTAGCTCAAGGACTTAACCATTGGGATAGATCATCTCATTCATCATCGTATTTTTTTATTTTCTTCTTCATTTTTTTTTTTTTTTTTGTTTTGTTTCACAATCTATTTTAACAGAGATCTAATACTTCAAAAGCCTAAAACTTTATGTTGTTGTTTTATGGTAGCCGATACATATATAAATCCTAGATGACATTTCGCTTGCGTGCTAGAAAGATTTTTGGTTATGGGAACTTCTAACGATTAAAATCTTAGTTAGAGAATAGAAGAGAGAAAAAACGAATGTTAGCAGAGAAAAAAAAAAAAAAATTTCCAAGTACCGTACGACGAATTAGATTGGGAATGAGAGAAAAACGGACTTCGGTGTGTTGTAATAAATAATTTGAACAAGGCGCGCGTGAGAGACAGAGAGAGATAAATTATTGCATGATGCAAACATTTCCACCATACAGAACTTATATTTTATTCAAAATAATTTATTAACGGTAAACATCTATAATGACAATACGGTAAGAGAGAATAACTTTCGTAGAGAACAGAACAATTTATTTAATTGTGTCCGTTGTAAATATACTAATGAAATTGAAGTGGATTAAAGTCTTGTACCTATAATTAATGACGAATCGTGTTTCGCCACTCAATCATTGATAATCAAAAAACATTTTTTCGAATTTTTTTTTGTTGTGTATTTGTTTTTTTCTTCTTTTATCTGAATACGAGGATAAATGAAGAAGATAGACTTAAAAATACTATATACTACATATTATATTATAGTCATACTACATATTATATAAAACATATTTGAGACTTTTTAAAGTGTAGTTATGATCATTGAAAACCACTAAGATTTATATGGCACTTTTTGATTTAACACAGAACTAAAAAGAGTGTCATTTTTAGTGAAAATTTTTTTATAAATAACTTTAAAATTAATTGTATGTGGTGAAAGTCCAGTTTACATTTTTTATTGAACGAAATACAGAAACTAAAAATCTATTTAAAATATTTTATAGAACACTTTTTTTTTCTTTTTTTTGTGTTTTTCGTTCAAAAAAATCATCGTTTTAATCGATTATATATGAATTTCTAAATTGCGATCAATTGGATACTGTATTTGATAACAATTTTTTTTTTTGTTTTTTTATTATAGAGAGACAAGATATATTTTCATTTGTAATTAAATTTTACGATCAGTAAAAAGATATTTGTCTTGTGAAGATACTTCAGTTTAAGTGGATTTACTGAATGAGTAGAACAATTCTATTGAGAAGTTTGATTATGACGGTGTTAGAACGTTCTAGATTCAAATACGATTTTAGAATATTTTATTTTAGTTTATCAAGTTTGTACGGTGTAAAAATAAAAGAAAACGATAGATTTTTGTTAATTTTGATAATTTTTTTTTTTTTTGATAAAGTCCACCAATGTTAATGTTTATTTTGATTTATCTGATATAATAGATATCAAGTCATTAGTCTGAATTATGTGAATAATTTTCCTTTTAGATAGAATACATTCTCTTAACAGGAAATATGACATGTCAATTAGTACCTTTAATTAATTTGGACACAATGACTATTAGAATAATAAGTAATATGTTGTTAAATTTAAATAGTATGAAGTATTTCAATTTGAGAAAAATAACTACGATCAAAACACTATTTTAAAGATTATTAAACTAGAACTGTTTAGGACGAATATTATTAGAAAAAAAATTTTTTTTTGTTTTATTTATTTATTTATTTATTATAAATCAATAATATTCGCTGGTCGATTATATTTTGTTTATTTATCTTCTTTCTTTCTATTCTTATCATTTTAAATTTATTAAATGTAACAGTATATCATTAACGAATTAGACGGCCGACTTATCTCTATTCGATGGGTCGTTGTTGTCATTTATTAAATGGGTAATTTTCATCATAAAGCATTAATGATATCCGCCTCAATTAGTGCATATACAGCACCGACACTTATGGGAATATGTTTATTAACAGATCATTGGATATATGGAAGACAAGCACGGTAAAAAAAATTTGTAACAAAATTTTTTATTTCAATATTATTCAATAATGGATTTGCTTTTATTTTTGTGTTTAAGTTTATCACAAAATCCAACATTAAAACCAGGTGATTTAAGAGCAAATTTTACATATCATCGAATTGGTTTGTGGAGAGAATGTGTAAAAGAAACAGAAAGTAAAAGATATTTGTCATTTCATTGAGATCTTATCAGATATTGTTTTTAGATGGTCCTTTCGCTTGTGATTTAGTGAAATATTCAAAAGCAGAAGCAAAATTAGAAAAAGGATTTAAAGCAGTTTCATGTGAGTTTTTTGTTCAACATTGACTCTCTTTTTGTCTCTCTCTCTCTCTCTCTCTCTCTCTCTCTCTCTCTCTCTCTCTTACTGAACTTTTTGGTTTGCTTTTTTATAGATCGTTCAGCACCAAGTATGGCATGTTTTATCGCAGCCTCAGCATTATTAGTATTAGCCATATTTTTGTTCAGTCGAGGTTTGTGTAAACGACGACGAAAAGCAGTATTTTTCATCTCAGGACTTTTATTCTCTATCTCAGGTAATAATTAATAGCTATTCATATTATGATGATGATGATAGATTGAAACAAAAAATTTAGTATTTTTACAATAAAATAATGTTAAATCAAATTATATTTTAATTTAGCATCTGTATACCATTTCGACTATCGAATTAAAGATTTTTTTTTTCTTTAGGATTATTAACGATGGTTGGTGTTACATTATATGTTAGTATTACTACAGAAGAAAATGTGAAAATGGATCAAGAGTTTCCTGTTATGGAATCTGATTATGGTTTTTCATTCATATGTGCTGTCATGTCATTTGTATTACAAGAATTGACTGGTGTATTAACCGTCTATTGGTTTATTTATCGTTTTCGTGCATTAGTTCGAAAACAAGAAAAACTACGTGAACGAACACGAGAATTAATGGGAAATTGTTTACAAATGACAACGGCATTACCGTTAAATTTAGCACATTTAACGAATTCTGCATCAAAATCAAAAGAAAATTCATCAACACCGAAAGCTTACGCTGATTATCATCATCAACCATTACAAAATTCTTCAGGTAATCGAACACAAAATGCGCGTATTCGCTATATGATCGATCCCGATCCTCAACGTTTAAAACCGCCGAGACGTCGAATACCATTCGATGCCAATTATAAAACAGTACCTCCATCACAACAATCCGCACATACAGCAACAAACTATATCATAGCGGATAAAAATTTTATTCCTCGTTCGCCAAGTAATTTTTATGGAGAATATTGTCGTATTCTAATTCGGCAAGAAGATATGGCATTACTAACAAAAATGGTTAAATCGAAATCACAAGCACTTCTATTAAATAGTCCCACACCGTCTACAAGAAAACAGATACTCATGCCAAATGATACAAATGCTATAATGTGCAAGTCTACATCGTCGCCATCAACAAGTCAAATGAAGCAACAACAACAACATAATCCAACACTTCCAGCACAAAACACAAGAAGGAGTCTAAGAAAGGGTGTTAAACGTACTACATCTGTATAGCAGTAAAATATTTATTTTTCAAATCTATAGTTGTTTGATCTAAATAAAATTGTGCATATTTGAGTTATTGATGGGTAATAAACGAAGTAAAAGTAAGATTTTTACAGCTTTATATAAAGTCATTTGAATATTTATTTATTCCGATGTTTCGAAAATTTATATTTTCATTTTCAAGGAGTGTACAAATAGAATATTATGAACGCATAACAAA